GGGCTGGATTCGAACCCGCCACCTTAGGTGTATGTGGCTGGCGCCTTAGCCACTTGAGCCACAGGCACCAAGCCGGCCACCACCCCTAATTCTAGAACATTTCCATCTCCTGAAAAGGAAGCTCATGTTCATTAGCAGTGATTTCATATTTCTCTCTTCTCCAGCCCTATGCAATAGTCTACTTTCTGTCTCTGTTGATTTTCCTATTCTGGGCTGTTCATATAAATGGGATTATACAACATGTGATCTGTGTATTTGTGACTGCTCCTTTCACTTAGCATAATGTTTTCATAGTTCTTCTATGTTATAGTATGTATCAGAACTTCATTCCTTGTTATCAGCTAATACTATTTTACTGTATGGATGTACCACAAAAGTAGCACAACCATAGCTCCCTGTAATCTCAAACTCCTCTGGGGCTTGGTCCACCTACCCTCCTCTGCCTTCCCAGTCCCTAGGACTGCAGGTGGGTACCACCATACTCAGGCTAATTTTTTGATTTTTTTCACTACATTTTCTAGGCTGTTCTTGAACTCTGGCCTCAAGTGATCCTACTGCCTCTATCTTAAAAGCACTGGCATTAGAAGTGTGAGCCACTGCACCCACCCTATTTTCTGCTTTTGGGCTATTAAGAATAAAGCTGCTATGAACATTCACAAACAAGACTTTGTGTAAACCAGTGGTTCTCAACCTGCGGGTCATGACCCCTTTGGGGGTCAAATGACCCTTTCACAGGGGTCACCAAAGACCATCCTGCATATCAGATATTTACATTACAATTCATAACAGTAGCAAATTACAGTTATGAAGTAGCAATGAAAATAATTTTATGGTTGTGGGTCATCACAACATGAGGAACTATATTAAAGGGTCACGGCATTAGGAAGGTTGAGAACTACTGGTGTAGACAAATGTTTCATTTCTTTGGGAGATAGCTAGAAGTGGAATTACTGGGGTGGGTACTATTCACTCTTAAAATAACAAAGAGTTCTTTTCCCTGCTTCAACGGGATTTGCCACAACCAGGAAACTGACTTTTCATAAAAATGCAGTATAAAGCTCATTTTGGATCAATCTGCACAAGGTTTTGCAATCAACAAAATTATATTAAATTTTCCACTTTTAAGTTCAAATAGAAATTCTAAGATGAGATAATAACTCCTTTAACATAAATCATAAAACTAAATGGACTTGCACAAGCCTATTTAAAAATATGCTAGGGCAAAATTCTGTTTTTAAGTAGGAATTATATATCCAAATCTTATGGCTGACAATTGCTCAAGAGATAAATATACAGTAAAGGAAGACTTATATAGTACAAGCAGCTACAAATGAGAATTTAGACACCTTGATTTAACTAAACGCTCTTTTTCTTGGAGGGGGGCATTTCTCGTTTCATGAGGAAAATGTGAAGTATTGATTATAATTCCTCAAAGCCTTTCATAGAAACATACTTTATCAATTAGCGGCCAAATAAATGAACTTCTAGTCACATGTTATTTTGGATTTTTTTTTCCTTTCTAGCAATATACACTCTAGTCCAAATAGATTCAGACAGCAACCTTTGTTAAAAACACATTTTCATTTAAAGGAAGATCAAATGACTTGCCAGAAATCAGACATAATGAAGGGGAAACTAGCAGACATCCTACCAACCATAATACAAGAGAACGCCACAGGTCGTCCAAAATACGCATTTGTTTTTAGATTAACAGCTCGTTCCTACCGCCAAAGCCATCCCTAGAGTGTCAGAGGATGACCCAACCAGTGTTTTCTTTCTCTTTTTTCACCCTCTGCCACCCCCAATCCACCTGCTTGGAGGTGTCAAGGCGGCTACAAAGGGTTAACAGTGACCAGCAGCAGAGAAACAAACATCCTGACAACCCACAGCTGAGTAAGCAAGAGCTGTTTATTCACGAACGTGTTCCATTTGGAGACTGTCGGCGAGCCCTAGAAAGCCCAGGCACATTTCAGAAAATTCCTAGAGAATTCCCCTACCCGCAAACACACACTGAGAAACTCGGGTGGCAACCGTCCGGTCAAGGCAGCCCTTACCCCCGAACCCCCCAACTCCGAATAACCTCACGTACTAAAAGCATCCGACCCCTTGCAGGGGTTTTGTAATTTCCCCGAAATGGGCTCTGACGCGGGAAGAGGCTGGTCCCAGCTCCCGGGACTTCAGGCGTTTCTGCCACCCCCACCGCCGCCACGGCAGCTGGGGACCTTGCCGAGAAATGGCCCTTCACCTCCCTCCCCTCACCTGGCTCGGTCCCACCTGAGGACAAGAGCTGAGGAGAAAAACAGGCAGCGAGGGCTGACCTTGTCGCTACTGACAGTGGAGCAGCACATCCTGCAGCTTTCTGGAAAGCGGCCCGAAGGACATTTTTACCCCTGGAGGAAGGAAGCGGGAGGGCGCCGGCCGGACCGCAGCGGGCGCGGCGGCGGTGGTCTGGGCGGGCTGTGCAGCCTCTAGCGGGGACGGTCCGAGGACTACATCTCCCAGGCTGCTCTGGGTCGCCCTGCGTCGTGACCCCGGCGCGCACGGAGGCGGTGACTCTTACCTCACAGAGGTATCTCCGCCGGCAGCTACTCGGCTCCCGCGGTCCATGGACCGGAACCTCGGGCCGACGGGCAGGAACCCCGGCCGCGATCGCCGCCTCCCCGACCCAGGCTCCTCCTCCTCGCTCCCCACCGCCTCCTCCGGACGCCCGCCGGCCCCGCACCCCAGCCGCCGGGCTCGCGGAGCTTCCCCGGGAAGCTGGGTGGCGGGTTCGCGGCTACCGCCGGACTGAGGCCTACTCCGCCGCCTCTCAGTGCCATTGTCCCTGGCCTAGCCCTGACTGGGTCTACTGGGGAAGGCCAAGTGCGCCGGCCTCAAGGAAGATGCCGGACCAAGCCCTACAGCAGATGCTGGACAGGTACGGGCTCTTTGGGGGAGAATGGGAGCCTCCGACCCTCGCTCTGGCCCTGCCCGCGCCCGCCCTCGAGACTTCGTGAGCGGAGCCCGGCGTGCCAGGAGGAATTCCACGGCCAGAGGGTCGGGAGAGGGGCCGAAGTTTGGAATCTACTTGGGGGAGGACAGAGCGAGTGACCTGGATCGTAAACTTAGAGCGCAACTTAGTTAAGGAGAGGTGTCTAGTTTTGTTGAAACCCGGTGTTGAAAAGAGAGGGGCTCTTGATAACCCGTAGAATTAGTTTCTTTTTCTTACTCTCGTCCCCCCGCCCCCTGAACTCCCGAACTGTGTTGTAAAATGTCAGTGATGTCACTGGCATAAAAGAACCATGTTATCTTTGAGGGGAATAACCCCCTTATAATTTTAGGTCTCTTTCCAAAAACAAGGATAAACATTCTTTTGGAAAGCCTGATTGGCTGACTTCATTCCTCCTCCCTCCCCCACCCCACCCTATCCCATCCCATCCCCACCCCCAGTTTGTTAAGGTCAGAATACCCGCAAGGGAGTTTTGACAGTCAGACCAGAGTAGAGGTTATGGAAAATGGCCACACGAGTCCAACCCTAAATACTTAGGATATTTTATGATCATTGAGTTCATTGAGAAAGTTTCAGCATGTGCTGGGGTCGGTTGCCCATTCCTGGGGGGCTCCAGTCAATAAAACTCTTTTTGTGTAGTCAGCTGCATCGCCCTCTGCTGTTCAAATTTTAGCCCATGGGTTCTATCATGCGTTTTTGGAGACTCTTAAACCACTCTTTCTCCTACCCAAATCTTACTTCCTGAAAGACCTAATTGTATAAGCTAATTCAAAATAATGGTGGTTGTTTACAACTCTAAACAGACATCAGGTGCCACCCTGTTAGCAGGTGGTACAACTCTGTAGTAAATCAAGATGCAGCTGTAAGGTGTTAAATGAAGGCCTTCTTTAATTAGTATTATACCCAGTTAAATGCTGTTTGAGTCTGCTACATCCAGACCACAAATCACCTCCTCCCTGATTGACAGGCATTTCTTTTGGAGCTTAGAATTTTGAGACATCTAAGTTGATAGAAATATGTCACTAAGTTTTTGTAGTTGAAATGACTGGTGATTAATCCAGCCCTTACTTCAGGTTAGTGTCCTGACACGGGTATGGACTAACCCTTTTTTAGTATATGTAATTTTCTAGTTCGTGGAAGACAGAAACTAAATCGTTGTTTATCTTCAATCACAGACCAGAGCTTGGTACTCAGCTTAATCAGTAAATATTTGTTGTGTGTACTAGTGCATAAACTTGATTGTCAGTTTCCCCAGTAGTCTAGGGGCCTGATACTTTACCAGATTTTCCTTTAATTATAATTTAGCATACTGGCAAATTGTGGCATGTTGAAATATAACCAGAGGAGACCAACTTCTGTCACTGGCACTTCCAGCCAGATGAACCCATGTGGTGGTGCGGGATATTTTGTTATTTTTCTTTCATCTTAGTCCTCCTGCCTTCACTTTTACTTAGTGACTTAATAAAAGTTCTTATGTCCAAAAGCTGACCTGGCTTTCCATATCCTTTTTGGAGATTTCCATAAAAGAAGCTAAGTAATGCTCATGAGGCATTTAAAACTTCTCAACAGAAACTTGGAGATTCTGGATGCTATTTACTGAAGCAAGTGACTATAATAATGGCTTACTCTCATCTTCCTACCTTTTGGATACCTCAAGGTAGATTCTTAACATGATTTTCAGAGACCTTTGTTGTCTAGGTCAGCCTGACAACCTGGCTCCATGTTAGAATCACCTGGGGAGCATTTAAAAATAAGGATTGATGCTTGGACTCTTCCCAAGACCAATTAGATCACAGATTTCTAGAGGGTAGAGCCTGGGCATCTTTATTTTCAGAAGCCTTCTGGATGTTTCTGATACAGCTAAAAACTGCTGTCCTAAACCATAAGGACATGGTATATATACTATATATAAACCATAAGAGATAGTACCCATGTATAATTTAATGAGAAAAGCTTGGGCCTCAGAGTTAGAAATCTTGGAAATTTAAATTTTGCAACTTACTAGGTATGTGATTTTGGATTCTGAGGTTGTATATTCATATTTATAAAATGGAAAATCCTTCACATACATCTTTATAAAACAATAAAGCACTATAGACAGAAAGTATTTATTTAATTTTATTTTTTGCAGTTTTTGGCCTGGGCTGGGTTTGAACCTGCCACCTCCAGCATATGGGGCCAGGCCCTACTCCTTTGAGCCACGGGCGCCGCCCCAGAATAGACTTATTTATTTATTTTTGAGACAGAGTTTCACGTTGTCACCCTCGGTAGAGTGCTGTGGTGTCATAGTTAGTAGCAACCTCAAACTCTTGGGCTCAAGCGATTCTCTTGCCTCAACCTCCCTATGAATAGACCTTTCTTTTTTTTTTTAATTAAATGACAATTATGTACATTAATGCAATTCTGGGGTGTAGTGTGGTGTTTTCATATACAATTTGAAATATTTTCATCAAACTGGTTAACATAGCCTTCATGTCATTTTCTTAGTTATTGTGTTAAGACAATCATATTCTACTCTTAGAAAGATTCACTTGTACCCTTATAAGATAAACCATAGAAGTGATCCCTCTAATCACCCTCCCTCTACCCATTCCCCCCTTCCTTTTTCATTCCCCCTCCCCATATACTTAGGCTGTTATTAGGTTATAGATTTCATATGAAAGCTATAAATTAATTTCATAATAGGGCTGTGTACATTGGATACTTTTTCTTCCATTCCTGTGATACTTTGCTAAGAAGTAGGCCTTTCTTTTTAAAAAAGATATGCAACTAGCCAATAAGCACACAAAAAGACGCTAAACATCTTTTGGGCAAACAAGAGCCCATAACTCTTGGGCTTAAGAGATTCTCTTGCCTCACCCTCCCAATTAGCTGGGACTACAGTTGCCTGCCACAGCCACCAGCCTTGGTGTGTGTGGCCAGCGCCCTAACCACTGAGCTACAAGTCCCGAGCTGACAGAAAGTGTTTAAAACTAGCATAACTAGTGTGGAGGGTGACAGCTTTTCCCTAATCTCCTCCATATTTACTATCATCTTAATTTGAGCTGGCCTTACGTGGAAGCTGAACACTGAGATACTAAGCATGGTTCATTTGGGGGATACTGATAGGCCCAACAGATTAAAATATGTCAACCTATTAGAGCCCCAAATTCTTTTCCTAAATTTGGCTATTGCCCAGCTTGGTCTTTGGTGGCAGTTTTTGAGGAACAGAAGGTAGCTTAGATAACTGGCCATGTATTTATTTGTCTCTTTCAGGGTATATCCTTGTGAAGACTAAGGAAATGTATATAACACATTATTCTGTTCCTTTAGGTTAAAAGTTACGTATTTTATAGCCAATCAAACATTTTATTTATTGAATTTATTTAACAAATACTGAATGCCTATATACGCCTAGTACCATTCCGAGCCCTTAGTATATACTAGTGAGCATGATGAAAATGCCTTTTTGGAGCTTAAATTCCAGTGTTGTATATGCTCCATAAACTGTCAAAGGGAAGACTATTTTAATTATAACATGAATGGTATGTTCAATTTATACTACTTAATCTTTAAGAATTTTTAAACTAGCAGTGATGTATTAGCAGCTGAAGTTGAGTTACTTTGTCCTTTGCAAATAACTCACTTGTATTTGGAAGGAGTGTATATATGGGCATATATGTATGTATTTATATGGTCTTCTTTTTTTTTTTTTTTTTTGGTTGCAGTTTGGCTGGGGCTGGGTTTGAACCTGCCACCCTCCGTATATGGGGCCAGTGCCCTACTTACTGAGCCACAGGCACCGCCCTATATAGTTTTCATTTTTATAAACAATAAGCAACTATTTTATGCACATTTATTATTTGAACCTTTTAAGTTACTATGGGTAAAAAAAAAGAAAAAGTAAGAGTAGTGGGAAGGGGCGTGATTTTCCTGGCATCATAAATGAGTTGGGGTCACAAATATTTCCAGAAATTATAACCACTCATAAACCCCAAGCCCTTTATATCAAGCTCCTTGAGCCTTCATCCAGCTTTTTCTTCATTGCTGTAATTCTTTTTTTTTTTTTTTTTTGAGACAGAGCCTCAAGCTGTCCCCCTGGGTAGAGTGCCGTGGCATCAAAGCTCACAACACCCTCCAACTCCTGGGCTCAAGTGAGTCTCCTGCCTCAGCCTCCCAAATAGCTGGGACCACAGGCGCCCCCCACAACACCCGGCTATTTTTTGGTTGCAGCTGTCATTGTTGTTTGGCGGGCCTAGGCTGGATTCAAACTCGCCACCTTAGATGTACGTGGCTGGCACCTTAGCCACTTGAGCCATAGGTGCCGAGCCCATTGCTACAATTCTTTAATAAATCTGTTAAATAATACTTTCTCTATCACTACCTACTTTTTTATTTTCTCTTAAGCTTCTCAAAGTTAGGATTAAATGTATAGAGAACAATACAAACAATATTGTAACAAACTGCAGGAATGCACCTCAGATTTGAAGCCTGGACCTGTTCACAAATGCTTCTGGAAACTTTTGCTTCCCCTGTCTCACAGAAAGCACTCAGGAATTAGTAGAGATGGTTTTGCATCACTTGCACCAATGAGTAGGCAGGGAATGTAGCTGGTGTCTCCAGAACATTCAAAGAACAGAACAGAAGAACAGCAAAGAAAATGATCTTTTCCCCCTCCACTTTCTTGCAATGGCAGACTGAAATCAGAATTTTCACAGATCTCTATATATCCCTAGGAGACCAGGGAAGCTTGCTGCATTGTCTTATGATTTATATATATTACCATCTTAGTTTCCATATGAAGCAATTTCATATTTTTTGTCATTCAACATCTTTTTCTTAGTACCTGAAATTAAAAATGATTAATAGTTATATTTGCTTTTATAGTATGTATGTGTAAAAACTGGAAACATAACAGATAAAAATCTTCTTTAATCACTATCTCTAGT